ATATTTTGAGGATTAAATCTTGATTATGTCTTTCTCTGTCCAATGAATAATTTTTTCTATATAATTGCATTAAATGCATTTAGAGTTGATAGAAAGGCAAATTATGTTTTCACAATCACCCAAATTATTTAAACGCAAAAATGTCAACATGGCTCCTAAGCCTTACTGAAAACTCAGAAGAGAAAAGGAATCTATATTTTACCACACCAAATTAATTAGGGAAGAAGATGGATGAAAATGTGACTTTCAGATGAATATTGCAGCACATCCTATAGGAGCTTTGGTATACAAAATACCTTAAAATAAATCACTTCTGATAAGCTTCCAGTCTACAGGATTTGGAGACATTACATGAAAATCCATGCGTTTTTCGAATATTACGTAGTGCACAAGGGGGAGCTCCTGTAACTCTTTATGACAATAAAAACCTGAAGACAATATAGAAACCAAATGGAAATAAAGCACGAGAGATTTCAGAAAAAAATACATAGTGTTCACCCAATAGCAAGAATTATTGTATGAATTTGCACAACTGAATCTGCTTATGTCTTCTGAGTTCAGTATGGTTTCATCAGTACAAAGGAGAGGAAGAAACACCTTCCCCCTTTTAGGATGTACGCTTTCAATGAATAAGGCACAGATTTATGTAGGTTTTAAACCTATACAAAGATCAAGTTGTACAAAAAGAAAGCTAGCATGGTTTTTGAGGTGAGATGATGTTTCAATTGTGTGTGTCACAGGAAAAATTTATGTGAGCAGGTAATCAAAGTCTGTAGCATAACAAACACATTTAGGAGGTCTTCATTAACACTGCTCAGTTAGCCTCCAATCTTGAAATACTCTGCTTTTGAGCACTTAATTTTTCAGCCTTCCTTTCAAGCAGAATTTTTTTGTGTAGCTTCTTGAGGATGTGGGAGTTCTTTTAGCAAAATGTAATATGAAGATTCCATAACAGAAAAGAATACGAAACTTCAGCTTTGATCATTAGCAGGGTTAGAATTTTTTTACTATCTACTACTTGAATAAATAACTTATAAATCATGGATTTCTGTTCCTTCTGTGGATAATTCCTATGCTCTCTTAGGCATCTACAGTTTGCAAAGGAGTTTAAGACATTTGCTGATATCAGAAAGTAGTATTCAGGACCAGCATCCATTGGAGAGTGCTCTCAGCAGGTCCGCCCACATTCATTCCTGTGTCTCTGCAACTCAGTCCTGCAATGCCCTCTTCTTTAAACTATTCTACATCTCACATTCTCCAGAGCAGATGGGCTATTCCTTAACTCACTTCCTGCTTGGACACCAGTAGAGGGTGTAAAAGCACAGGGGAAATAAGTCTGGTTTTCAGTCAGTGTGTCTTTGTAATAGTCAAAATGTTGCTCCAGCAACTAAAAGAAGTCCTTGAGAGAAACCTCACAGCGTTAAGCATTGACACAGGAATGCCCAAGCAGCCCAGGACAGAACAGTGCTGGGATTCTGCACATGGAACGCCCACAGCCCGTGTGCACAAGTTCGCAGTGAAACTGTAACGAGCCTCTGGTGACTCAGTTTCAACGGAGATTTTTCAATGCTTAACAACACGGTTATTTTTTAAGGGGTCACAAATGGTATTCCTTACTTCCAGAATAAGTCCCAAATGTCGAGCTTCTAGTCCAAAGGACAGGATTGCTGGTGTATAACTGGGAAAAGCTATCTAATATGTGCTATGTGTTTTCCTCCAACTCAGTGTCAGAGAGGTTTGATCCATTTCAATTTAACAATCAGCCAGGAGCATACTCTCAGCATGGAGAACTCAGCGTAAACAGTGAAAAAGTGGCCAAATTGTAAGAACAGGATCCTGTAGTGGGAAACATCATGCAACCCTGCTGCCAGCTCTGCTGGTAACACATGGAACCAGAACTACTACCTATTCTGCCTGCACACTGGAACCCGACCTCCCATGCTTTCTAAGTACTCTTCTGTGTCTTTTCCAAAAATGTATTTGAAATTATTATTGATTTTGTCATTTTGGCTTTAGGGTTACATTCATCTCACATATCCAACTCTACCCCATGGGAATTTTCAAAAACTAAGAGCTACACAGACCAGTATACAGATATTGGCCTGTCCTAGTTAAAAAAGACTGAAGCTGCGTTATTTTCCCTTACGTAAGTCAGCATTAAATTGACTTTGCTTCCATTCTCCAAAATATAACTGAAGACAATAGTATACTCTCTCAGTATTTTATGCTCAATTTAACTGCTATATTGCATTAAATGATGTGCAATAATGTAACCCTAAATGCAAATGAATTCGCATTTGGTAAAAAAAATCTCTTTGTTGCCTTCTCCAAATAGGAAACTTTTTGTAGATTTTAATGAACCAGGAAAACCAAACATCCCCATATGGTGAGAAAATTTCAAGGCATGCATTAAAAGAAAAATCTTACATTACTCATCAAAAACTAATAGATGTGACAGGAGAAAAAAATCAAGCTATGAAGATGAAACTCAAATGATTAGCAAATATGGAAAATCATCTATTACAGTGCTTCTAAAAGACTCACCACAGGCTAAAAGAGAAAAGCATGCATTTCATATTTCCAGACTGGAATATATTAAATTTCATTTGAAGTAAATTATTTACAGCTATAAAATTCCCTGAAAAATTAGAACAACACACAGATACCTTGAAAAAATGCATAATGATCAGAACTACCGAAGATGTTATCTCTTTCTAAGATTGTAATGTTTTCTAATCATATGAAAGATTTTGAGGAACTTTCTCTGAATCTCAGAGAGTTCCTCACTCAGTCTTTTTCTGGACATTACAGAGTAGTCTGCAGGCCTCTCCAAGCTCATTTGCTGCCTGCCCTACAGGCATCATTCTGGCAATCTAAAGATATAAAGTAGTCTAAAGATGTCCTGGAAACACTTCCCTATCCTGATACATCATTTTGGAAGTCATATATCACCCTAAAAATAAGCAAAATATATAAAATCTACAAACACGGTGCTGTTTTCTGGTACTCTGATTTTTTGTTTCGAATAGCTGTCAACAACTCCGGGAATTTGGCCCTGCAATTCCACTAACTCCCTGGTTGTTCAAAACTGACTACAGGTGATGAAGAACAACATTTTTGTAAGCATTGTAACAGCTGTACAGTTTAAAACTGCAGGAATGAAGCTTGCATGCAGTAAATAAAATACTCAGGTATTTACCTCTGCTGCATTTACCTTTCAGTTAACATAATTAAAGGGAACTGTGGTCATATGGAAAACACACAGAACTAGAATTCATGAACCATTTCTATGCTGTGTAGGTTCTTCTGCCACATTTGACATGGGACAGCCTGAGTTCCTTCAGGATGAAACAAGGTGACAAGCATCTGTCACATATTTACTCACTCAGCTTCCCTCCACAGAAATGTGTACGGTGTGGGAGGGAGAAGGATGTCTGTTTTTTAACATGTCTTGGAAATAAAGATAATATGGTTTGCAAAGGACCTTATTCCTGTAAAAGTCACCAAGTAGCCTGCCTCAGCCCCAGCCCCAGCCAAGTTCTGTCTCCTACTCAAGTGATTATTTTGTGCAGAACAGTCCTGTTGTGCTAGGAAAGCTCAGCTATTGGCAAAGGTATCAATCACTAAATTTTGCTCAGTTTCTAAAATACTTTGCACCTGAGAGTGTTTACTACCCTCAGCTGAGCATCACTTCCCATTACTGGGGGGTTATCACCTTCTAGGGGAGACGGATGTTTTCACCTCCTTACCTCTATCAGTTACTTTTATCTGCTTCAGAAAACAACATCTTTTACTCTGGATTCTGCACCTGGTGCTTTCATTGAGAAGCCAAGCAAGACCCCTGACCTGACTTAACTCCCAGTGTTCCACTGAAATGCCAACAACTTAAAGAACCACTTAGGTGTAATCCGTTAACTGGTTTGTAAAATGCTTACAGAATGAAAGGTGCTAAGTATCCAAGAATTATTACTCAGTGCATGGAAAAATGTTTATGTTCCTACAGGATAAGGCTGTGTCAGGAAGTGGTATAGCATTAGTGAATACGACTGTAGGAAAAGGAACTGCATACTGTTACATGTATACATTTAATAAAGGCTGAATGTGACAATTAAGAAAGGTCAGTACCCTTCAGGAAGCAGGACAGACAGACAGGGAGAGGTGGAAGCAGTTATTTTTGCGTCAAGGAAACATGTTAAAATATTCCTTGTTTTTATCTGCTGTCAAGAGATCTTTTTTGTGCAACAAAAATACCTTTAACCTTTTAAAGACATCACATAAATAAATTCAATTAAACTCTTGTGTCCAGAAAGAAGGCATCCAAGCATCTGCTTATTACTGTAACTTTTCTACTCCTGCCATAAAAAAATTCTAAAATTTATCAATCTTTATAGCAATGCCTGACATTATTTCTTCCCACTATTACTCTCTATCTCTCTATATATACTATATTCCACTATTAAACCAGGCATAGAAATATTCATGAGTTCTTTCACGTGGGTCCTCATCTGGTGAGGCTGAAGGCATAGAACTGTTTTACAAAGGGGAACTGGAATGTAAAGCTGCTCTCTGAACACAGGAGAAAATTCTCCCTGAGCAAAGGGCCAGAACAATGCCTATACATCAGTTCAGACTCTGTTAAGCCTTAAAATAGGATTTAATCATGAATTTTATGATCCACTGGTTATCCACTGGTCTTGTCACAGTGCAGCTTTTCTTCCTTACCCTCAGCACCTCTCCAACAAAGATAGGAAAACCAGACTGTAACACAAACTTTGGCAGCAGTACACCTGCTAATAATCCCAAACCAGTTGCTTTCTTTAGTTATATGACACAATGTCTAAAGCATCCTTATAATTTGCATACTGTGCTCAAATGCAAGAACATGCTTTGCATTTGCACTCGGTTCTTTTCAATTTAATGCTGCACTTTTGCATTTTTCATAACTGAATTCCTCCCCCTCCAGCAAAAAAAAAAGAAGTGCAAAACTATGTGTGATTTACCTTATTACAATTTTTAGCAACTTGGCAAAGAGCACTGCTTGACATACTGTCTTTATCTGGCATTCCTAAAAAAGGAATACAGAAAATAAATAAATAAATAAATAAATAAATACTGTACATTCTTTAAGTAACAATGAAGATATTTATTGATAGAATAGGGAATTTGATGGTTCAATATTTTGATAACATACACATTAATCTATGAGTTTTAAAGAGAAAAGCAGATTTATTCAGAAAAAAGTTTCCTCTTGTGAACACGAAAAAGCTAATTTGTGTAAATACTATAAACTCCTTGCTAAGCATAGTACTTTTCTCACAACTTAATATTTGAAGCATGTATATAGGAATTATTTATACTTTCTTATTTAACATAATCTATGTCTTAGTATCTGGAAGTCAATGTGGTACTGAGTCTGCACTAACTAGCATAGCTATGCTATGCTATGCTATTGTCCTGCAAATAGAACATATTGAACACACAGCATATGGCACAAAATTTGCAGATGCAATTTTTAGCCATCAGATACTGTCCTGGTTGGCATCTAAATAATCCCCTGGCCAATAAATAAAAGTACCTTGATTTACGCAAATGATGAGTTCCAAAGGCTGCCCTTGGATTCATGTCTACAGCACTATCCCACTTGACAGGTTCTTATGAGGCACAGACATACCCAAACTTATTCAGCTATGTAACAAAGGTCAGAGAGTAGCATGTTTACTGCAAGCTGTCTGCTCAGGCACTAACCTAGATTCTCCAGCAAGTTGTGTAGCTCATCCTAACTAAAAAAATGAGACAGTTTGTTATTTTTACTTTACTAGCAGGACTCATGGCCATGTTCCATGGAATTAATGTAACATCTATAACTAGTTAAATGTTACATGACATCATACAGTAAGCTTTAGTCAACAGGCCTGGCTTAGAGTGCAGATTTTTGTACAGCTCCGTGTACACTTGTATACAGTTGGGAGACATTTAGGCAAGTTCCAAAGTGTTTCCTGCTACATGCAGTATAAATACAGTTGCAATACCAAAATGAATTTAACGTTTCAACTTCAACCCCATAACCAGAGGACTTCCATCTTCCCCTTTCTTCCCCTTTCTCTTTTTTTCTACCATCTGATTTCTAAGTTCTCATACTTACTGTCATTGTTGGAGCCAGTTTCCATAACACCATAAGGAGGAGTGAGAAGTCCAGACATATACTGTCGATATTTCTGAAAGACAGTGATGGCACATTCAGTCAGGTACAGACATATAAAACCATTCAGGGGAATATGTGCTATTTACATTTTTGTGTCTGCTGCCTTTAGCTTCTCAGGCACACATGTGATATGAGGCAATCAAACATGTATTTACTCTTAACACTACAAGCTCTGCTTTCTTGACTGGAGCACACTGCCTTTGTTCCATCAAAAATTGTGCTAAAACAGCTCCCCCTTTCATCTTCCCCAAAGCATGACTTCAAGGGTTCTAATAAATCAATATTTTACTTAGTGTGTGATTTCCCATAAAGGCTGTTTTAAAGCTCATTTGAAATTGCACTACTCATCTGAACTCAAGCTAGAAAGCTACATTATTGCAGGGGTGGAGAAAGAGTGTTAATTAAGGATTCATAAGAATCCTGTACCACGAGAGTTTTGGTGTCAGATTTGCAATATACAGGATTTAGTGTAAAAGCTCTAAATGTTTATTTCCAAGACACTACATTTGGTTTTCAGAAACTACAAGGCTATTAAACACAAATATCGAATACCTCATATTATGTATATCCTCATACAAAAACTGTATTAGCAGATGAAACTTTGTAGCTATAAAAATAATGTCCCTTGTATCACCGTAAGCTACATAATTGTAACTGATGTCAGCAACTGGTATTTTTCTTCAGTGAATGCTGGTAACATGATCAATAAGGTTCAAAGCTCTGTCTACGGCTTAAGAAATTCACTGAAGCTACAAAAATAACACCAAAGGAAAAAAAATTGTCCTTTTATCAAATACAAATAATTCAATGAATAAATGACACATCTTTGTTTCCAATCAGACTATATTACTGCCATGCTTAAGGGTAAACAATTATAATTCCCTTTTGGAACCGCCAGAAAACAAGCTTGGGCAACAGGGATGCCGATGTTCAGTGTAAATAAAACGCATCACGCAGTCCTTACGGTGCGCAATGAGCTGAACCCGAACGATCCATCAGCTGAAATTCACGTAGGTTTCAACTAAGCACACATAACAACTGAGACAGAAAATGACCTTTATGGTGCGATTTTAATTTAAAAGTTTTATCCTTTGCTCTGTGGAGTTGTTTGGATGTATTCGCTTTTAAAATGTTGCCTGCTGAATTTTAACAATGCTTAAATTATTCTTTTAACATTTCTTTTTCTTGGAAATGGAGATGAAAATATCATCAATTCTAGCACTAAAGACTGAATGTCTTGCATTCTAAATAATAACAAAAGCTACAAAGATTACATTAATCTTAATAATCCAATCCTATTTTTAGACAAGCTATTACATCCTAAAGCTTAGTAACATATTATTTAAATCTCACCCATAATCCAGCTGAATACTCGTAGAAGCAAATCTATGTTATATCGCTGGTCAGTCACACAAAACAAATGCTACTCCACTTGGGGATAAAACTCTCCCATTTTCTTTACCAAACCATTCACTTACCCATACTCTGCATCTAGTCCTTGCCTGGAACTTAGTGAGAGGAAGAACATGAGAAGTACTTATTTTTTCAGTTCAACTAGTAATTCACACACATAAACCAAGGGAAAAACTCATTTTCCTTGCCCAAATTAAAAAAACAGAAGTGTGTCCCAAGGGGTTGAAATAACACTTCATTCAAACAACAGATAAATGTTTTGTTCTACCTGCTACTGAATTTGGTCTTGAAATGTTATTTTTAGATGGAAAATTGGAATGTTTCATTTGGGATAAGATAAAAACCAAACTGTATAGGGTGTTTTTCTTTTCTTCTTCCTCACCATTCAGCTGATACTTTTTTGTTCTGTTTTTCCCAAAATAGCATTTTCCCAGAAATACATTATTAGTCCACATTTAATCTACCTTTATAAGGAACTTGAATTGTAGGAAGACAGTAATTTTCTCTTTTATTTCCTCTACCACGTCCACAGCCATCATAAACTGCATGGCAGTTTCCTTCCGATTAATTCTCTAAAATTTTTCCTGATTATTCATCTCATGAGACAAAACATAGAATACACCATATAATTTCCAAAAGATTTGAGTACTCAGCTTCAGAAAAAAACTACTGGTAGAGTAAGCCAGAATCATATATACAACTTCAGTGGGGGCATCCAATCTCATTTAGCCCCACCTCATGCTCAGGATGACAAACCCTACCAGAAACAAAAACACAGACTGCCAAGGATGTCAACTCTGTCATCTTCTGCATGAAGGTCCCACTCTGCCATGGGACAAGTCTACTCATGAGTCTGATACAGCAAGCCCTGTGGGCAGTGTTGCCAGTGAAGGAGAGGAATTAATTCAAAACATGCCCTCAGAAAGCTCAGTTGTTCAGACTCCTCCAGGGCACCTCTGCATAAAGTGAAACTTCCTTTTATACCTGGGTATCTGAGGGGAAGACTGATAGGACTGCCTACACATGGTCTCTCATGAAGATATCTCAGCAGGGTGTGGGCTGACATAGGAGGTATAATTTATGCCTAAAATTGTGTCACCTCATTAGTCAAATTAAATGTCAAAGGGAACTTATTTGCCAAGGAGTTAGGGAAACACTGTTTGCTGGGAAACCTAAGCACACAAAGAAAGACCTAAGTAACTGCCTAAAGATTCAGATGGAGTAATGAAGTTCCAGGCATAAGATCTCTGAAATCTGAGATAATGAGACCTATCTGGTTACTGTAATGTCTGGAAATGAAAATAAAATGCAGTAAATTAAATTGTACTCATAGGTAGCATCATAGAATGATTTTAAATCATTCAAAATTAACAGACTAAATATTTACAAAATGCTTTCGAAAATGTATTCCACAGGTGGTATGAAGCCTGGAAAGGCTTTCCTTATGAAAGACAGCAACAGTTATCAAATCATCATAAGCTTGTTTATTACCAGAACTCTTCAAGTTCTGTAAATCCAACATGACAGCAGTTTTTAAAACTACACTCAGTGACCTATTCACTCTGTCTTCAGATTTCTACTGATTTATAAATTCTATCATGCAACAGCTTAAAGAACAGACACTTCCTGCATCTAATCTGACAGCACGAGTAATAAAGACAATATTTTTTTTCCATTTGCTGACTGCCTCATATCCATGCAGTGGTGAAAACGAACACATTTTAACCTTTTCAACTACTGCTATAGCCTAAGGCAAAGAAGAGCACTGACAAGGAACAGTTGGGGATAGGAGAAAAGGAGGAAACAGAATCACACGCTTGCCTTACTGGGAAGGTGCTGTGGGGGAATTTTCATACCAATGGTTTTTAAGGCCACTCATTGTCAAGTTTTTCAGTGTGTTTCTTTGCATGCTCTTATTAAGACTTTATTTGCAATTAGCTGCAGTTTTCACCACTACAATAGGTTTTCTTCTACTCTGTGAACGTAATTGGGTATATTTTTATATGCTAATGCTTAGAAAGGCAATTCTTATCATTCTGATGCAAGCTATCCCCAAATTCCTAAAAAATGCTTTTGGTACACATAAGATACATAAAATACATCTTTGTGGTTAGTCCCTTCTCTTCCGCTGCAAGTAGTGAAGAACTAATAACTGTTTAAAGGGAAAGAAGCAGCAAAAATGAGATTTTTACAATACAGACACTCCAAAATAAGCCAGGTACATGTAAAGAAAATAGACGAACCTTTGTTGTCCATGTGCATTGCACAGCACAACCCCAGCACTCTAATGGGAAGGACTCAGGACTGATGAAGGGAAAACCTCCTGTGTGCAAAGATTTGAAAGCAGGTTCCACACCAAATGCTCCCCCCAAGTGCAGCAGTTCTCCAGTTGGCAAAAGGTATCTTAGGGGCTGTGTAATAAGGACCCAGGTAGTGATGGTTTGTAACCCTAGGGAGTCAGGCTTCTGATGCTTCCCCATGCAAAGGTGAACCTACACGTGGCCAGATACTAGGAATTACTGTCTTGTAACACTGGAGAAAGTTTTGTAGACCACAACAGGTGCTTGGTTAAATATATATCTCTCTCTTTCTCCTTCTCTTTCTTCCCCACTCACAATCTCAATCCACAGTGTCACTTTTCACTAGATGCATTTCTGCTATCTCCTGCCTACCACTAACCAGCAGCAGAGAAGGTGAGAAGGCAGGGCCCACATTACTTGCAAACTTGGGAGTAACACAAAATAAATGATTTCAGTTGTAGAAGTCCTAGGCCGAACATCAAGGTGATCTTTCAACACATATTTTTTAAAACCTTAAGTAACTACTTTATCAGATGCTCTTACTATGACTATTACCTGAGTTCTGCAATACTCCTGTACTAGCTGTCCATACTCCTGCAGTTGTTTCTCTCGGGGAATATATGCTATAGCTTAACAATGTGAGCCAGCTTCTCTATTTTCTTCTGACAATAAATAATTGATCACTGATGCTCTCAGTACCACTCTGTTCTTCCTCTAAGTTGGCTGCACCAGTCATACCATTTTGGCAATGAACCATCTCCCTTATGAGTATTACTCACAAGGGCACACCACTCTCATGGTGCACTGTTTCTTCACTTTTCTCCAGAACGATAAGGAGAAAAGCCCCTGTGAGAAAGAGCCCCCAAAAGAAATAGCCCTTGAAGATCTTTGGGCCCTTTCTTCACCCATCACATCAAGCAGAGATTGCTGTCTCAAAATCCAGACCTTTGCCTTTACATCTGATACTCCAAAGACTGCTCTTTACTGAACTAACTGACAGGTAAAATCTCAGGTCATCTGCCTGCTATCCATTTGTGTTTTCCAATATAAAGTGCCTCATGTTCTTACAGATTTTCACAAAATAATCCCAAACTGATTATCATACTGATAGTTCTTTTTTACCCAAATCTTGTTACAAAGTGGAAAACAAATAGCACACTTGCTGTTGCCTAATTCTATGTTCTGAGACCCACAGAAGACTCTGGTCTAATTCTGATTTCAGATTCTGTCTTAGTACATTTACAAATTAATAAGTGTACTTCTTATAAGCAAGCTCAATCAGAAATTTCCATACATTTCA